AGTTCAACCAGAGCAATTTCATTTTAGAAAAACCATGTAGTTCCCCCTCAACACACAAAAAACAAATAATCTGATTAAAAAAATGGGTGGAGTACCTGAACAGATGCTCCTACAAAGAGGAAATACAAATGGCCAACAGGCACATGAAAAGATGCTTCACATCACTATTCATCAGGGAAATGCAAACTAAAACCTCAATGAGATATCACCTCATATCAGTTAGGATGGCCACTATCCAAAAGACAATAAACAAAAAATGCTGGCGAGGATGCAGAGAAAAGGGACCCCTCCTACACTGTTGGTGGGAATTTAAATTGGTTCAACCACTGTGGAAAGCAATATGGAGGCTTCTCAAAAAAATAAAAATAAAAATACCATTTGACCCAGGAATTCCTAGGAATTTGCCTGAAGAAAACAAGATCCCTGATTCAAAAAGACATACGCACCCTCATTTTTATCACAGCACTATTTACAGTAGCCAAGATATTGGAAGCAACCTAAATGTCCATCAATAGATGAATGGATAAAGAAGATGTGGTACATATACACAATGGAATATTATTCAGCCATAAAAAGAAAAGAAATCCTGCTGTTTGCAAGAACACAGATGGATCTAGAGGGTATTATGTTCAGTGAAATAAGCCAGGCAGAGAAAGACAAAATACTAAATGATTTCATTCACTTGTGGAGTATAAAAATAAAGCAAAACAGAAGGAACAAAAAAGCCAGGCAGAGAAAGACAAAATACTAAATGATTTCATTCACTTGTGGAGTATAAAAATAAAGCAAAACAGAAGGAACAAAAAAGCAGTAGACTCATAGACACCAAGAAGGAACTAGTGGTTACCAAAGGAGAAGGAGATTAAGTGGAAATTTAATTCACAATCACAATATAGGTAGGCCGCTGTCATGGTAGTACAGCATGGAGAATATAATTAATGCCTCTATAACATCTTACTATGTTGATAAACAGTGACTGAAATGGAGGGGGTGAGGTCTTGATAATATGGGTAAATGTTGAACCACTGTGTTGTGTATGTGAAACCATTATAATATTGTATATTAATGATACTTTAATTAAAACAAAAAGAAAGAAAGAAAAGAAAAACTATCCATTTTGAGAGATCCACCACAGGTTTGCCCTTTCCTTGAGCTCTCATTCTAGAGCCCTTGCCACATGCTAGGTCATGGTTATCCATTCTAAGGTCTTTTCTCTGTATTTTGGATCTTGCAGGTCCATTACACATTGTTAGTTGTGAATTTTATTTTTCTATCTTGCTTAGAATCTATTTGGCTTCCTGAATACAGGGGATTCATCTTTCCTAGAAAATTCTCAATCACTATCCTTTCAAATACTAGTTTTCACCCATTTTCTGTCCTCATTGTCTGGAATTAATTTCAGAAATAAGTTAGATATTCTCACACTATTCTAAAATCTCTTAATGTCCTTTACATATATCCTATATCTTTATCTCTCTGTTGCATCCTAGATACATCTTGTTGCCTCTGTAGCTGAATATATTCTTCTGTTTAAGCCTTCCAGTGACATTTTACTTGAAGTAATCATTTTTTATTTCTTTAAGTTCCCTTTTGTAAGGTTGGAGGTACCAGAAGGAGGGGTTAGCACATCAGACACTGAAGACTTACCAAAGTCCCCGGCTGCTGCCCCCTCCCAACCTGAAAAATGTGCCTTAGGCTAGCCAATTTTCACACCGCTGTAAATCTAAGCTCTCCCTCCCACTACCTTCTTTAAAAACTCGCTGCCTGCCCTGCTGCGCATGACTTCCCCAGCCTGTGATAGCCAGACCAGGGAACATCACCCGGGAATTTCACTCAAATAAACTGCCTGGCCATTTGTTGCCTCTCACCACCTGCTTATTTCGGTTAAAATTTATCTTACACCTTTGTTTTGTTTTGAATTTGCTGTTCCTTCCCCTATTATGTTTCCTGTGCCCCCCTTTCCCCCAGCCCACTCTAATCTGCTTGGTTTCCTAGTATCTTATTCTTTTCTTATGATCCAATTCCTCTTTGATATCTGATGATTTGAAACATACTTATAATGGTCTCCTTTTTTCATTTTAAAACTTCTGCTTTTAGGGATGCTGTTTATTGTGGGTCTTGACTCTTGTTTAGGGTGGATAGTTCCTTCAGAATTTTATATATACTCACAATGGGCTCATTTTCAGCATGATTTTATCTTAGAGACCCCCATTGGGTGTGTATTCAAAGTGTATCCTACTAGGGAAGTTTTACTTTCATTTCTGCCAGACATTAATCTGAGCCTGTTTCTATACTACTTGGGATTTCCCAGACCATCTTCGGGTGTAATTTCCCAGACCATCTCCAGGTGTTACAGTGGCATCCCAGACCTGCCTGAGGGTGAATTCTTGGTAGAGATTTTTCAAGGAAGAAATTGGGTTTTTTTCCACCTCTTGTCCATGTTGAAGCAGACATGCTTCCTTATCACAAACTTGTATTTTTTAGTAGATTTATTTCTACTGAAGGTTTTGATTGTATAAAAGGATCTTCACTACAACTCTGTTTTACAAGGCTTCACAATCAAGTCTTTGGTCCTAACATAAGATTAAGATGCCAGTGTGTAAGGTTAGAGATAAAGCAACTACCTTCCAGTCACAGCATTTCCCTATGAAATTCTGTCTCCTACTTTCTGATTCCTTTTTTGGGAGTGTTGGGAGACTACCCTGAGGTTTCTCTCTACTTTCTGAACAATTAAACTGTTCATTTGAAAGGATGTATTTCTATCATATTCAGTATTTCTATATAAGAAACATTTTATTTTAAAAAATGTCTGTAACCAGAAGTCCCATGCTCATTTACTCTTCTTCCCTTGGTTTTGAGAGGAGTTCTAAGTTGTAGAAAGTCCCCACTGAGCTGTCTGCTAGCTACTCAGAATTGCCTGCCCCACCCTGGCATGGCTCCTGGCAGCCACATCTCTGTGGCGTGTCCCCACTCTCCTGTACCAGGGCACTAGACTGTGAGTGGGTGCATGACTCAAACTGTCCCAACCAGATCCCTTTCTCTTGAAACTTGGAATTTTATATTCTAAAATGCCCCTAGTCTTGTACTTGTGGTCCTGAGATAGTTCTTTTATTGAGCTCAATCTCAGAGTTCAGTGCCAGTGTGTAGCTTAGTAACAGGATGATTATTTTTGCCATGATCCACAGCAGCAAAATTTGCCACCTTATTAAGTTTAGAGGCTTGGTCTATGTAACTGTGGATAAGACAATATGAACAGGTACCCTAAAAGTGACTTTATTAAGTACTAATTAGGAAGTTATTTTTCAATTTTAATAATAAGGATAACAGTTTATGATCTTTTATGCTTTCTTTTAAAGCAACTTTTATTTCCTCTTAATAATACTGTGAAGAATAGAGATACTTTGTTTTGTTTTGTTTTGCCGTATTTTCACATTTACAACAGAGTGTGGAAAAGTTCAGATACCTGCTCAGAATCATAATGTTTCTCCTGAGGAACTGTGTTTTCTCTTTCAACTGTGTCTGTTTTCCCCTTTCTCGTGTGTAGACACACACAGAGTGATAGAATTTTTGAAGGTAACTGCCCAATTCATAAAAACTCTTACTTTTCTGGGAACTGTTTCTTCACTCTATAGTGGTGGGTCCTAGATGGCCTTGTTTGTACCATATAACCACTATTCCTTGTCCACAGTTTATTGGACCTGTGTGGACACCTGAATCAATATGGACAATAAGGTCTTCTCCTCCGGGAACTGGAAACTTCCTCTTAGGGAAAGCAAGGTGCTTTTGGTGAATGCCATACCATAGAGACCAGAGAAGCAGAGAGAGAGAAATGTCAGGCCAGCTGAGAGAGGCAAAAACACAGCAGATGCCAAGAGAAAGCCCTGAGGGCTCCTGTGGACTGAATCCCCTTCTTGCTATGGACGGAATGTGTATGTCCCTCCAATGTTCGTATGTTGGAACCCTAATCCCTATTTGGGGGTGGGGCCTTTGGCAAGTAATTAGTTCGTGAGAGTGGAACCTTCACAAATGATATTAATGTCCTTATAAGAAGAGGCCAGAGGCTAGCTCTCTTCCTCCACCCCGTGAAGATGCCATCTGCAGGCCAGGAAGAGGGCCTTTACCACGAAACAACCACGCTGGCGCCCTGACTCTGGACTTCTGGACTCCAGAACTGCGAGAAATAAATATGCCTTGTTTAAGCCACCCGGTCCACAGTAATTTGTTGTAATTACCATGTTATAATTACCAACCGACCAGGATACTTTCTGGAGCAGCACTGCTGTTCATCAGCTCCATGAGATCATTACTCATTTAGTGACACATTTTTTTCTTCAGAATCAGTAAAAAAAAAAAAGTGATGTTTATTCACTCATTATGGTGTCACATATATAGGATTCATACCCAGAAGGTAAACGGTTGGAATGTGGCATTATCTGTTTTGCATCTCATTTTTCTGAGACTGCATCCCTGTGATCGTCCCTGGGTCCCTGTGATCTTTCATTTTCTCACCCTCCTCCCTCCACCTGTAGCCTTTATACTTTCCTTGATTGAATCACTTCTACTGTTGTCTGATACTACCTCTTAGGTTTGCTTTATTTAAAAGTAAATTCTTAACATTTAAGACAATTTTACTGTGCAACTATATGATATTACATTTCCTTTTCTTAAATGCATACTTATTTCAGATCTTATAATGAATAAAAAAATTCCCTGTCTTGCCAATGGGTTTCAGCCCCGGGCAAGTTTGCTATAGATTCAATGTGACCAAAGAAATTGACAGCAAAATGTTCTTGGGGTGAAAGGGTTATATCCAACTTTATTTCCAGGTGGGAGGTCAGTCACTAAAATCCCATTCACTCAGAGTGAGTCTGTGTGCAGAGTGAGTCTGCACACAGCAAGCCCGTCTCTCCCTCTGGGCCTCTGTCCTCAGTGCTGTCCTCACTCCAGCCTCTGCTCCGCTCTCCTGCAGCCTTGCAGCCCTGCCACCGTGTCATGCGCCGAGCAATGGGCAGAGCTCTTTATATAGAGTCAACAGCCATGTATTGCCCACAGGTGTGCAGTGAGCTAGTCAACCAGGGCCAGGTGAGAATCCTGGTCACAGGAACTCTCATTTTATCCACATTCCCCAAGAAGTATTTCAGTTTTGAAGACTGTAGATAAACAACCTTACTTTATGCTGAGACCCAAGGTTGTGAGTGACTGAAATGGAGAGGAGGTTAAAGCCTTTGGAACTCAAAAGACTGAGCAATCAAGAGGCTCAATAAGTTAATAGATGTTGATAACTTAATAAAGAAACATAATGATGCCATTAAGGATGACATATAAGAATGAGGTAGAGAGCAAAACAATGATCAAATGCCAGAGTCCACTGGGAAGTTAAGTGGATGAAAGGGTGCTAGGAGACAGCATGGAAGAAATAGAATCTGTTAAGATATATTGAGCCTACCAGGAAAACCTTTCACCTGCTGTATGAGTTTGGGAGATTATCCTTCCTGCACAATGGAAATTTCATCACCTCTCCTGCCATTACTCCCTTCCCAAGTAGCCAGTCACGTGTTTGAAAACAATGCTGAGGTTCCCAGAGAGAGTATAGAAAGCAGTTCATTCTAGTCCTAAATTAGCATAAATTGAAGAAAAACTTGTGGGTAAAAACTCTGGAGGATGTCCAAGCTCACAATGATACCAAGGGCTCTTGATACTCATACGATGTGATGTTCTTTGTGTGGCCATCAGTTACTAAAATAGAAGCAGAGCGGCATGTTATTATATAGATGCACAGGATTACCCTTATGTGGTCCCTCATAAGAAAAAAATACCTAAAAAATAAAGGAAAAAGCCCATGTGTTTGGTAAGTTGAAAATTAATAGTAATCCTGATTAAACACCTTACATATATTATCTCTACTTCTCCCATGAAAGCAAAGTTAAGAACAAATGAAAGCAAGTAAATCCCCAGTGTTAAGTGAATTATGCAAATGATGTAATTTACAGCTGTGAATCTGGAATACTAAACCATAGCTATAGGATTCAAAACCCTAAGCTCTTCCTACCACATTACACCATTCAACAGCCAAGGTGATCTTGCTGAATCATAACTTTCACAAACCCTTAATTTGTTTTCCTTTTTATTTTTAATTTAAAAAGGCACAAAACTTAATTTTTCCACTGAGTATTCACCTCTCTCTGCTTACCCACTATGTTTGAAAGAACCCTCCCCGAAAAAAATTCTAGTATAATTTTTTTCAGACATTAATCCAAGTGTACTCCCATCACCTGCTTGTCCTTAATCGCATCTTCTCCACCCACCAATTTGCAAATTATATTTGGAGTTTAGTTTCTACAAATGTTGGGCCAGAAATAATTTTTGTTTTTCAAAGGGGTATTTCTTTCCTTAAAATTTATTTTATCAAATGATCTATTGCTATACAGATCTAGGTGGTCTGTATAAGACAATTTCTAGCAATTTATATCACTTTTATATTCTGTGGAGATAAGTATAATATAGGCCAACTTGGATATCATGTTAAATAGAAGGTGTGCATCAGTGGTTTGGATTTCTGACAAGTAGCCAGATGATAGTAATTGTGCTGGTTTGGGGACCACGTTTTTGGATTCTTTGGTATAGACTTGTTACAGTCTTGTAGTTTAATCTATTGGGAGAGTCTGTATATGTTTCCAAATATATATTTAATTACAGTGAGAGAAATAATATGAATATGAGAATCCTTAGCATTAATTATACCTGTTGATAAGCTTTTTGATAATAGTCATCACCCAGTCAGCCTCAGGATCCAAACAAACTATTTTCCCATCTTTCAATGTGACACTGAAAAGAAAAGAGTGGTTTGGTTAAATAATAATGATAGTTAATTTAATAATACTTTAAATTTATTCATTCAAAGTTCTGCAACATGAAATTCCTATGCGTAAGATGAACACATGGATTTCTCAAACTACATTAATCATATTATTAGAATTTGAGTTTTAGTTATATCAATAACTAAATAATGAAATTTTTCACCACTAATGAATAACATTTTTTCTTGCAGTCTTTTGAGATATCAACTAATCACTAATCATCAAACATTTATTGGACTTATGATACATAATGGGTAGTGATAGACTCTGGAAAATCTACCTGAGGGTAATATATTCCAAGCTGCCAACCATTTACTATATATTGTTTATCATTATACCTCTGCCAATTTTGTTAGCTTTAAGGAACTCATTAAAGCTTTATTTATTACTGGGAGAGAAAGAGAGCATAAATTGCTAATTTAAAATAATTCTGTAGTTTTCAACTATACTACACAGAAGAGTAAAAGCTTCACCCCTTTGAAATTCTTTGCATGAGGATCAGATCATAATGAAAATGTTAATAATGTAATTAATAACTCCCTAGCAAATTACCAATACGAGGATAGCGGCAAAATATTGTACATAATAGCAAAAAGTTGAAAGTATTCCTTTTGAACTCAGAAACCAAACAAGGGTGCCTGCTATCATAGAGCCATCTCAACAAAGCCAGAAAGATAAAATGCAGAAGGTTTCCAAAGGAGGAGAGTAAATTGCCATTATTCCCAGATGATGTGATTACTCCCAAGAATGATTGATAAAATCATTACAAAATTTTGTCAAAACACCAGTAACAGTCAGAATGTGAAATTTATAAAGCTATTCTTTACAATAGCCTCAAAAAATATAAAGTGACTAGAAGTAAGTTTTTATAGTAAAAAAGATATGGAATGCCTTTAGAGAAAATTGTAGAAGCTTGTTTGAAAACATTGAAGATCTCAATAAGTTAGGAGCTATTCTACATTTCTTAAGTATAAAACTCAGAGTCATGGAGATGTCAATAATTCACAAGTTAATCAAAAATTTCAAGGAAGTTCCACTCAAAATCATAATTTAATCAGTGACAATTTTCAGGCTGCTCCTAAGATTTATATGGAAGCAAAAGTCTAAGAAAAGAAAAGCCAGTCTGAAGAAGACAGGAGAATTTTCCTTTCCTGACGTCAAGAATTACTATAAAATGTTAATAATGAAGGTGTTGTACAAATATAGACAATTTCATTAATGGGACAGAACAGAGATGTAACAACCATACCTACACATTGAGATAAACTCAGTTTATGGCAGAAGCTGTGCTGTAGATCAGTGGCAAAAAGATGAGATTATAAATAGTGCTGGAACAACTGATGAACCATATAGAAAAATGAAAGTGGATAAATCCTTTCTATTATATCCAAAAATCAATTCCAGGTTGCTTAGTCTTAAATACAAAGGAAAAAACTATAAACATTTGGGAAGACAATATGGAAAAAATATTTTTATGAACTCTGTGAAGGGAAGTTTTTTTGAAATAAGACATTGTAAGTGCTGACCAGAAAAAAGGATATTCTCAACTCAAGAATATTAAAAAAATATAAACTTATGTTAATTGAAAAGATACCATAGAAAGAATGCACATATGGGCCAAAAAAATCATAATGAAAATGTTAATAATGTAATTAATAACTCCCTAGCAAATTACCAATACGAGGATAGCGGCAAAATATTGTACATAATAGCAAAAAGTTGAAAGTATTCCTTTTGAACTCAGAAACCAAACAAGGGTGCCTGCTATCATAGAGCCATCTCAACAAAGCCAGAAAGATAAAATGCAGAAGGTTTCCAAAGGAGGAGAGTAAATTGCCATTATTCCCAGATGATGTGATTACTCCCAAGAATGATTGATAAAATCATTACAAAATTTTGTCAAAACACCAGTAACAGTCAGAATGTGAAATTTATAAAGCTATTCTTTACAATAGCCTCAAAAAATATAAAGTGACTAGAAGTAAGTTTTTATAGTAAAAAAGATATGGAATGCCTTTAGAGAAAATTGTAGAAGCTTGTTTGAAAACATTGAAGATCTCAATAAGTTAGGAGCTATTCTACATTTCTTAAGTATAAAACTCAGAGTCATGGAGATGTCAATAATTCACAAGTTAATCAAAAATTTCAAGGAAGTTCCACTCAAAATCATAATTTAATCAGTGACAATTTTCAGGCTGCTCCTAAGATTTATATGGAAGCAAAAGTCTAAGAAAAGAAAAGCCAGTCTGAAGAAGACAGGAGAATTTTCCTTTCCTGACGTCAAGAATTACTATAAAATGTTAATAATGAAGGTGTTGTACAAATATAGACAATTTCATTAATGGGACAGAACAGAGATGTAACAACCATACCTACACATTGAGATAAACTCAGTTTATGGCAGAAGCTGTGCTGTAGATCAGTGGCAAAAAGATGAGATTATAAATAGTGCTGGAACAACTGATGAACCATATAGAAAAATGAAAGTGGATAAATCCTTTCTATTATATCCAAAAATCAATTCCAGGTTGCTTAGTCTTAAATACAAAGGAAAAAACTATAAACATTTGGGAAGACAATATGGAAAAAATATTTTTATGAACTCTGTGAAGGGAAGTTTTTTTGAAATAAGACATTGTAAGTGCTGACCAGAAAAAAGGATATTCTCAACTCAAGAATATTAAAAAAATATAAACTTATGTTAATTGAAAAGATACCATAGAAAGAATGCACATATGGGCCAAAAACTGGAAAATGAGCTTTGCTATCCATAAATTTGACAAGGGATTAATATCAGGAATATGTAAAAACACCTGTGGGTCAATAGGGATGAGATAGTATCCAAATAGGAAAAGCAGCAAAGAAATGGATAGGAATTTCACAAAAAAGGGGAATACAGATTCTCACAAACATATGAAAAAATATTCAGCCTTATTAGTAATAGAGAACTGAAAATTAAAAGATACCATTACATACCCATCAGGTTAAAAGCACCAGCCATTGGCCAGTATGTGAAGCAACAGATGATTTTATGTAAGAAGGAGTGTCAGCTGATGCAATACCTTTGTAATACAGTGTGGCATTACCTGGTAAGGTTAAAAATGTGCAGCCTCTAGACCCTTAAATACAGTCCATAACAAAAACAAAATAAATAATAATTGTTTTGGGTTTCATATGTAGGTGGTAAAACCAATTTCAAAAAGCAAGAAAAAAACAGCTAAAAGCTAGCAGTTATTTTGTAGAGGTGGGTGAGTGCATGATTTGGTTGTTTGCTAGGTTTGCTCTAACAGTATATCACAGAGCAGGTGGCTTAAACAACAGAAATTTACTGTCTCATAGGTAAGGAAGCTACAAGTCCAGGATCAAGGTGTTGGCAGATTTGGTTCATTTTGAGATCTCTCCTCTTGGCTTGTTATGTCCTCACAGGGCCTTATCTGTTCATATTCATAGATTCCTGTTGTGTCTCTCTCTACTTCTAAGTTCACTGGTCATACTGGCGTAAGACCTAGACTTATGACCTCATTTAAACTTAATTACCTCTTTAAAGGCTCCATCTCCAAATAGTCACATTCCAAGGTCTTGGGGGTTAGGACTGCAACATAAAAATTTAGAGAGGACACAGTTCCGGTCCTGACAGGATTTTCGCATATGCAGGCTTCTGGTGTACTAATTATGTTCTAGATTCTGGTTTGGGTAGCAAGTAAGTGGATTTTTATTTTATTACTGATCTTTAAACTGTATGTATATTTATTATATATTCATTTGAAGCATGTTAGGTAGAATATTAAGAAGGCCCAAGAAGTTTCCCTCCCAAACCTCCAGGAGTGTGGGCATGATGAAATATTGCTATAATTAAGGTTTCTAACGAGTTGACGATTTTAATCCAAAGGGAATTTATTTAGGTGGGCCCAGTGTATTGCATGGGCCCTGCAAGCAGCTATCTCTGATTGGCAGCAGAGGAGGAAGTCAGAGAGATTTGAAATGAGAGATCAATTCAACAAGGGAAAAATTCTCAGTTGCTGATATGGAAGCTGTTGTGTGGAAGGACCTGAGAATCCCCTGAGCTGATGGTGACCCTGAGCCCACAGCCAGCAAGAATATGGATATCTCAGTCCTACAACTGCAAGGAACTGAGTTCACCAACAACATAATCTTGGAAGTAGATTCCTTCCCAGAACCTCTAGGTGAGATCTTCAGCCCAGCTGACACCTTGATCTTGGCCTTACAAAGCCCTGAAGCAGAGAACCCAGTTAAGCGACCTGGACAGCTAATTTACAGAACTGTGAGATGATAAATGGGTTTATTTTAAGCCACTAAATGGTGATAATATGTTACTTAGCAATGAACAATTAAAACAGTATGTATGAAATAGTTTACAATGTAAAAAGTTTCAATAAAATACAGAAATGCACCCCAGAACTTCTAAACTCTGTATCTGTAGGCTGATTCTTCAGAAAATTTGTCAAGTCAGCTTCTAGAGCCTAGGCTATATTAAGCTTATTGTGTTGTCCAGATGTATAATAGAGATCTCTAGGTGATCAAGAATTATCCATGTAGACTTACTGGGAACCATGTGTCTTTTACAGATTCATTCACTTCAAAGTTCACTCAGAAGAATTCATACCCTATGTTCCCATTTGAGAGTTTTTGTTTTTGTTTTTGTTTTTGTTTTTAGAGAGGGTACAAGACACCATAAGTACTGGGCAACTATCTTCCCGCACTGAGCAGGAATAACGAATGCCCAGAGCCCTGGTTTTCTGTACTCTTATCTACCATATGCTGTAAGCAAATGTTAGCACTGAAAAGCCCAGTAGCAGAGGCTTCCATTTTCCCCACATCTTGTACTTACATGACTTCTTTTCTGCTGCAGTAAGCACCTTCAGGTATTAACTGGACATTTGTAATGAATTTGGGAGAAATAAACTCAGAATATGTCTGGATACACTGACATCGCAACTCTTGGCCCTCACAGGGATCAGCTGTGTGAGAAAAGGAGAGCAAAACCCTGATGAAGAGCAGACAGCCATGAAGCTTGATTCTTTACCTGGAATTTGAAATCAAAGCAGCAGGACACTCAGTTCGCAAAGTAAGTACTGATGGAAATATTTAGGGAGATAATCACACAAATCTAATCACCTGCTGTAATTACAGTCCATGAACATCTGAGCATATACTGACTGTGTTTAAGAACTAGGTAAGTACACTAGACCTGTAGTCACTGCTTAACCATGTGTGTTGTCAGTAAGATAACTTGTTGAATGGTAAAATCAACTTGATCTCCTGCTATGAAAAGTTATCAACATAAAGATTTTATGTGAATTCTGTCAACTGAAGGTGCCAATTTCTGCCTATCAAAGTTAAAATAAACACTCTAAACTTACTTTCAGGAATCCTCCTATTATCTCAAACAAACAAACAACAGCAACAAAAACCCAGACCTTTAGAGTCAAGAATTTCTAGGAAGTTTACAGATTTTTAAAATTTAACTTAACAAGACATTCTTTGACATTTCACTGTTTAAATATATGTTCTGCTTAGGTTTTAATTTAGAGTTTCCACATTTTGCTTAATGCCACATACAATCTCATTATACATGGACTCTCTTCTGAATTTTTCCAATACCTATAAAGAGAATAAAAATCAGAGTGGCTTACCAAAGATGTCCAGGACAAAGACCACCAGCAGGAGGAACGTGCGAGGGCTCCCAGCAGGCATGTCTGCTCGATCTTGATCCTTGCCTGAATGGTCTAGTCAGCACTGCAGCCCCTTTTATGAGCGCTCTGTAATCCCGAGAATTCTTGGTGGTTCTTGCATTCTTTCCTTGGAAGAATGAGAAGAGCGGCTTATCAAGGGGCATGTTTGCCAGAAGCCAATAAGGAAGCTGGGTTTGTTTTTCAAGCTTTATTTTAATTGGGGGGCTTGGGGTAGGATGAGATGAATTTGTTGAATAGAGAAATGAATCTGTTATTTCCTGGGGGTGAAACTGCATAATTGTGAAGGGCTCAGTGCCAGCTGCAGTTATTAGTGTCATAAGAATATGCAATGCCAGGTGCAGAATGGAGTCACAAGAATGTTTATACATCTTTTCAAAGGTAATGTTTGTACAAAGTAGGGAATTCAGTTGCTTTCCTCAGCAAGTGTTTACTTTTGGCTTTGATGTCTATTTGCATAATCCCATTCAGAATCATAATAGAGTCTGCCAAACTCTGACGACATTTGCAACACAGGTAATAACCTAATAACCGGCAAAGAAACTGAGGAGGACTATGATCACCCTTGTCCTGTCAGGGAAGAGCAAACTACAACTTACTTGTGGTTTCAAAGCAGCAGTTTCAATGGGCTTGAAGCTGAATTGACTAACAGTGAACTATGAGCTTCAGCTGTTTCCCTTAAGCAGTTTTGTAAGTGACCTTAATTATCTTATACTGACCACATTTTTTGTTTGCTTGTTATTAACAAATCAAACACTGAAGCATTTGCATTAGTGTCCTAGGACTGCTGTAACAAAGTGCCACAGACTAAGAGGCCTGAACAAAAGTTCACAGTTCTGGAGGTTGCAAGTCCAAGACCAAGGTGCTGGCAGAGTGGACTTTCTTAGGGCTATGAGGGGAAGAGCTGCTCCAGGCGACTCTCCTTGGTTTGCAGATAGCCGTCTTCATCTTCGTATGGTCTTCTCCTTGTGAGCACGTGTGTCTCCAAATTTCTGCTTTTTATAAGGATACCAGTCATATTGAATTAGGGCCCATCTAATGACCTCCATTTAATTTGGTTACCCCTGTAAAGACCCTAACTCCAAATGAGGTACTGAGGGTTTGGACTTTAACCTATAGATTTGGGGCAAGGGGTAAAGTAGGAGATATGCTCTGCTTTCCTTCTGGTGACAGCATTCAATGTCCAACAGCATTTAACTGAAGATCAGCAATTACTGAAGGGCTGATACAGTTGGAAGGTAAACGTAGCCTAGATAATAAGAAAGTTTTTTATTTTGCCAATTCTCATTGAATGTCTATTACCTTTGCTGGACACTGGGTGTTTAAATAATAAACACTGATTTTCTGCTCTTGAGAAGTTCACAGCTTGTGTAGAAAGACAGGCATTTAAACAGATTAAGCTAGAAAGCGATCTGTATTATATTAGATATATAACTGAGGCACCTTGGAAACAGAGGAGGGAGGATTTGGGGGTGGGAGGGAAGACTTAACAGGGAGGTAACTTTGGAGTTGTTAGCGATGAAAGGAGGCTCGCCATAATAAAAGGCTGACAAATATTCCAGACAGAAATGCACCAAGAGGTGCAGCATTATGAAGGGTTGCTCTAGTCTCAGTGTTTGCGTCCCCCCCAAAATTCATTTGTTAGAATCCTAACCTTCAGTGTGGTAATGTTAGGAGGTGGGGTCTTTTTGGAGGTGGCTAGGTCGCGTGGGTAGAGCCCTCATAAGTGCAGTTAATGCCCTTATAGAAGAGACCTCACGGAGCTCCCTACTTCTTTTGCCATGTGAGGATACAGCTAATTTGTGACTCTGAAAAGGGCCCTCACGCCACCATTCTGGCACCCTGATCTCAGATTTCCAGCTTCCAGAACTATGAGAGACAAATTTATGTTGTTTGTAAGTCATCCAGTTCATGGTATTTTGTTATAGCAGTCCAGACAGACTAGAACAAGAATCTCAGCACGTTATTTCAAAAAAGTTATTTCAATCTCATAATGAGATAAGTTTTAATGACTTGACAACAATCAACTGACTGATCAGATCTTGGCTTTTATAGAAACCAAAAAGCTGCAGATAAGTTAGAAACACTATTCAGATACAATTTCTTTGTCTCATTTTCCATCTATACCAATGAAATGCTTTGTTATCAACATGTCTGGATATTATGATAATGATAAGGAAAGGTACAAAGAAGATAACCAAATATTGAAAGGCTCTAAATAATTTAGTTTTGTAAAACTTCAGACAGGCTTACATCATGGTAGTTGTTAAAGAGATGGTGAGCAAAGATCCAGAGATCTTCCTTATCAAATATGGGTCTCTAATTCTAGACCTACAACATTTGTGCTAGATACGGAGCAGAATTAATTTACAGTTAGATCTAGATTATTTATAATGTCCATATTGTCAAACTTTTAAGGTTTTATAGGTAACCTTTTTTGTTAATTGAATTTTCATACAAACCTGAAACCTATACAACCATACAAGTCACCAAACAAATCCCATATTTAATTTGTTATGTATCATTCTTCAAAATATCTACTTATACTGAGATACAATGTAATATAGTAATCATTTATTGAGTTCTGCTTTGCACTAACATAACTCTATGAGCTTTTTGTATATGATCTTAAAATGTTGCAGGAGCTGTTCCTATCTTGTAGATGAGGAAAGTGAATATCCCAGAAAAGTTAAATAATTGTGAAAGATTAAAAATAGCACAAATTCTTAGCAACTCCTCACTTCAAGAGGTGGAATCTATTTCCCAAACCCCTTGCTTCTGTGCTGATAATATGTCTTGCTTTGGCCAGTAGGATGTGGTAAAGTGATGTGGGTATTCCAGGTCCAAAATGCAGGAAGCCTAGGAGCTTCCACTCCTGCCCTCTCAGGTTGCCAGAAGGAAAGCATAGCACTTCTTCTAGAGACACGATGCCCACCCACCAGCCAACACCAACCACGAGACATGTGAGGGTGGCAGTCCTGCTCAAGGCACCAGATGACTGCAGCCCATGAGTGACCCCAGGAGAGGCCATCAGAAGAACCAGCCGGCTGAACCCAGCCCAGCTATTGTATCGCCTAGCCCAAACTGACAACCTGTGAGGTCATGAACCAGAACAAAATGGTGGTGGCTGTACATTTTGGAAAGGCAATGGATAACTGAGAGGGTAATTTAGTAGGCCACACAAAGAGGTTGAACCCCTTTTTTACTTCAAACTGTTTGGCCACAGTATTCATCATATTTCCTTTAGATGATCCTACCATGAATGGACTATCAGTAATTAATTAGTACCCTGAGTCTGCAAGTTTTAAAATTTCTATAAATTTTAGAACCAAATTCCTTTAGATGATCCTACCATGAATGGACTATCAGTAATTAATTAGTACCCTGAGTCTGCAAGTTTTAAAATTTCTATAAATTTTAGAACCAAGATTCAAACTAATAATTCTCTTCGGCAATTATGAGAATTATCTAGTTAATGAAAATAGATATCAAAAAGCTATGTGTCTGTCCATTTTTAAATAAAACAATTATATGACATTTGGTAATTCCTTAGTGGTCTCCAAGTGCCCATATTCCCACCTATAAAATGAGAGAACTGATTTTTTATGTGGTCTCTCAGGTTTTGAAAAAAATTCCTGCCTGGCTGCTAAAAGATAAGCTCCTGGTTATAATATTTGACTTGTTTATTCCTCTCTTAACTATGTGGTTTCCTCATGGAATTGTTGAAAACAAAAAGAGCAATTGCAACTGTCTCTTGCTTTAAAAAGAAGGTATTTATCACATTTAATTTGGAGAACAAATGTCAATAGAAGAACCATCCTCCTCACAGGTGAAACTAAGGCCCTAGGTATGGGTTTGGTAGACTCTCTCCCCTGGCACACAGACACACACACATATTTTAGGGTGTTATGGATCCAGCTTTCAGGTTTTGACTTCAAGTTCAGCCAAGGAAGAGATATCAGAGGCTAATGCCCTGCTCTTTCGAGGATTTATAATTCTATAATGTAAATCCAGCAACTCCAATTTCTTGATTTGAGTTGTTTTCATAATATCTTCAGAATAAGAAAGCAAACACAATAGCCTCTTGGGAAATAAAAGGCTCAGGGGTATGTACAGGTGGCCAGTGTGGTGAGGTTATACCACTCTCCTGCTAATTTTTCCCTGCCAAACTTCATATTTTCCTCCCTCCTGATTCTCTGGTATTATACTCCTCAATAGTACTGCATGAGCCCTAGCCCTGAGATCTAATTTCTGGTGATCTAAGTCACCAATTTTGGGCTTCCCCAAAAGCAGTTTCTGATACGAAGACTTGTGGACAATAGTTTATCTTGGAGGTGATCATAGGAAGAACAGGTTAGGGAGCGGGGAAATGTGCAATTCAGAAGAGAAAAAGCTAATAAAGTCTATGTAATAAATGAGATATCACTGTAGGTAACTAGGACTTAATCTTGCTATGGTATGGAGCCTCTTAGAAACATTGTAAAATGTTCCTCAGAATTATCCCACCAAGACTTCCATTTTCAGCCATGTAGAAGTAAAAGAAAACAGTCCTAACCTCTTGCTGTAAATAACTAGAAAATTTAAAAAAGTATATGAAACAACTGTTTTTAGATATTGGACAATAGGCAGCCAAACACTAGGGTCCCTGAGGAAAGGACACAAGCAAGGCTAGGTCTATGATCACCCCAGTTTTTTTTCTGTAGCAATTCTATGCAGAGGAGAGCATAGTGGTCTTGCTGAGTTGAGGAGACTCAGATTCGAATTCAGGGAAACCGAAGTGACCAGCAGGTATGGAATAGAGTTGCAGAAACAAGAGCTCTGAGCAGGAATATAGAATTCTAGAAATCTGCATCAGGGTTCCATTAGGTCAATACTAAGTCATAAATGAACAGGGTGGAACTTCGTAAGGTCATGCAGAGGGTGGCCAGAGATGTGTCAGCAGAGCAATCCTCACCTCATATGGGATGGGGAGATATTTGAGGTCTGTCTTTTTAGAGAGGAGCCAACTTGCTATCCTCAGGGTGTTCAGTAGACCCAGAAGGGATTTGACTTAGCAGCACAACTGAACAAGCATTAGAGCAAAGAACTCTGTCTAGACCACCCTAACAAAGCTTAAAAACAAGCCACAAAGAGATCAAGCAGATGCTCCCATAACTTAACTGACTGCCAGAACAGAGACCAAGACTCTAAAGGACG